TCCCCTTTTAGGGTACTTCGTGGGGAAGCGTGGCCTTCGAGCGGATCTCGCTAAGGTCAAGGCCATTGTGGACTGGCCGGTTCCAAAACCAAAAGGACTTGCGCAAGCGGCTTGGCCTCGTCAACTACTTGGACAGGTACCGCGAGATCTACGCAGAAATGGCACGACCATGTCGTATCTCCTTCAGAAGGGTGCAGAATGGTGTTGGGATACCAAGCATCGGAAGGCTTTTGACGGGGTCAAAGCCAGCCTTCTACATGCGCCATTGCTGGCGTTGCCAGACTCTGATCGTCCTTTCACTGTCGTCTGTGACGCTTCGGACTTTGCTATTGGCTGCGCATTGCTGCAAGCAAACGCCGAGGGGCGAGATCGGGTGATCGTGTTCGAATCTCGCCAGCTCAAGTCTGCAGAGAAAAACTATCCAATTCACGATAAGGAATTACTTGCGATGAAGTATGCACTTGTCAAGTTCAGGGTTCACCTGCGTGGCTCCAAGCCGTTTGTGATTTACAGTTGTCGCCGCGACTGTGTGCACGGTTACACCGATATTCATAGAACGATGGTGTGCTGTATTATAGCACCAACTCGACGGATACCCCACGAATTGTGTTTCCACTTGTGGGATCAGCTCTGAACAATGCAGTGCATGCGTCTACCGGCTACATGCCGTTTTACCTGAACGGGATCTTTCAACCTCGCGTCCCGCTGACCACGCCATCCCATTGGCTCAGGGCTTGGTGGGAGAGGAATAGCCGAGCGGCTAGCTGATGTTAGCCCCCTCACTGTTCGTAAAGAAGTCGTTGACTATCTGTCTACCAGAGTGAGTACGTTCGCGATGCGATGGCTGAAAGCAAGACATTCAAAAAGAATATGCAGACAAAAAAAGTAGAGGAATTGTTGAAAACTCTGAGGTCGTTGACCTGGTTTTCAAAAAATCCTAAAGCCCTTCCTACACACGCAGTTTCTGCTGTCTTTAAGACGAAGCTCCGTCTACGGTTCATCGGAACTTCTAAGTTCGTGGCCAAACGAGGCCTTGCGTGTACGCTAAACCTTCCGAAACGGATGCGCACCCACCCGGTTTTTATTCGGACTTGCTCAAGCCGTATCGGGATCTGGCGCAAGTGAACGCGGAAGCGTTGGCGCCGGAGCGGCACGCACTGGCTCGACTACCCAGAAGCTGGCCCAGCAACTGGGTTTAAGCGCGAAGTGCCATCTCCAGCGATGCCAGGCACCCTACCATCGCACGAAGCGACGCATTCGTCCGCTCAACGGCTAGGAGCCGCTCCGACAGTCCTCAACATGAGGCAGTCGGTGCACAAAGTGGTCCAAGCTCTCGAGCAGCGGTATGCAACCCCAGCATGATGCTCAGCGGAGTTCCGATCGCGACAGATCTTGTTCTCAAGAGCTCGAAGATAATCGCAAGTCACCGGACGGCGATCGGCCAAGTCGTCATCATCCGCCGCCGGCACTTTTTGACGAGAATGGTGATGTCCACAATCACGAGGAACGTCTTTTGGGTCGACGTCGTCACCCCTGTATTTTGTGAACTGACAGGGTATACTACGGCGAAAACTCGATGGAGTTTCAGGTGCGACTTCGGCAAGCCTACCCAGACGTTGTGGGCGCTTACGATCAAACGAATCATGACGTTCCGCGTCGTCATACGCCCCACACTTCTTGGCAAAAGCCAGGGAAGCCGAAGGGCCATGAGCTAAGCTGAAACTATGGCCCCGAGCTGCTGTGGTCGCGGACTCACCCGTGAGAGAGACCACAGAGCTTGCGGGAGCGTGTTGATTTAATTCATACGTTGAGAGCGATAATGCCGGCGACGCGCTTTTAGTTTGACAAACTCGAACCAGAGATGGCGTTCTACGCGCACGTCCACCTCCTTGCGGCCCCGCTGTATGTTAAACAGCGAGGAAAGTTTTCGTTGCCGCTGCACCCATCGCTCAAAGAGCTCTTCGTTATCTGTAGCGGTTTCACCAGGGGCGGAAATCCCAGAAATTGTCCGCTTCGCGGGTACAGGGGCGTCTTATTGCAACGCTGCTACGGAGTAGAAGGTAGCACAGCTACAAGTTATGGTAAAGATATTTTTCTGCTTGCAACAGCGATCTTCATGCTTGATTGGCTCGTGCGAGTAAGGCCCTTCAGTCATGTCACATAGAACACAGGATGTGGTCGCATTCTTCGTCGAATATCCAGAATATAGCACAATCTCTTCTTCCATTCGATCTAAAACGGTGCGACGTGGTGCGGTCCCAACTTGACCTGATATACCGCAGACACTATGTGTATCAATTTGCCTCACAGCATATTTGTGTGTGTTTCGCCTGTTCCTAGCCTTAGTGTGTTGGATTTGCACATCCTAGTTCTCAGCCATAGCATCACGCCCTCGGCGCATGATGCTCAATCTCATTGCGAATCACTGAATAACCTTGCTACAAAATGTAGCCAGGCGGAAATCAGCAAGTCGAAATTGATCGACAGTGCTCATGCTAAATGAAGCCACTTTTATGGTGGAGGTAGAGGCTTTCGGAATTTACTAACTCATTCATGTAAATGTGGTAAAGCTTGTAAAGGCATGTACTGCATCATTAGTTCTTTTGTGTTTTAAGTCGGTGAGGCTAAGAAATACGATCATACTTCAATGTCCATCGGTATATACTTTGAGTACAGTACAGTCAAGGGCAAAGACTGATGCGTCACGGACGACGGAGGATCGCTGATGCAAATTTGGAAGAACCATATTCGGGTATGCGTGACGCTTTCTCTACAGCCCTGACGGCCGTCTATTCCGCCGTGCCTAACACCATTTGACACTCCGACTAAGGATATTGATGAGGGATCGTGCTGTGTCTGCATATTACGCACTGTACTTGTGCAAGTAGTTGGCCAGATATCTTCTTTAAGTTGGAAAGAACACAGACCGATCTACAATGGTCTTTATGCCTGTGTAGTATGATCGTACGTCCTACTTCTTGATGAAACAACCCAGAATGAAACTTTTGTCGTCGCGAGAATATACTGGGCTTTATTTTCAAATATTTTATGTAATTCCATCGACCCGAACCCCGCCAGCAAGTGTTTACTAAGATTCTTGTTTTTAACTTCTTGTGCTCTAACAGTTATCGACGTATGTATCATCGGGATCAGTATGTGCATGGGCACGATGTGGCCAGAATAGCTGCATCACAAGAAGATCAACCATCACTGGTATATTATACATTCCTTGTGGCAATGTGATCCACATCAGGGAATCCCAACCGGAGTACTCGCAGCAGTGAATGAGAAGTAGCTGTCTCTTATCAGCAGTTGAAAATGTCCGATAAACAGGTCAATGATAATAAACAACGTGCTGTTGACCATGCTTTTTGTAGCATTTTTTTGGTAATTGGCGTTTATGCCGAAGTCGTAGTTGCATTTTGCATTTTTTGAGCACGCATAATTTGTCATTTGTCGTTGGCATTATTGACACAGAATGTCAGCTCCGATTCCAAAATATCTTTATTCCAAAATCACTTCGTGCTATTTACTAGATAATGAATTGATGACGATACACCTTTCCGACACTAGGGTCCGTTGATGTACGATGCAACATTTGTTTGGGAATTATACTCAATTTTTGGTTCACCTAACCCGACTGGTATTTTTTTGTCATTAATTCGCGATATTTTCTAACAAGGAAGAATGTGCCCCATAGGATCCTCAGAGTTTGCTGCCAACCTCTTCACACTCAGTACTCTGCGAATGTCTGCTATGACGGCTCATTCATGGTGGCTGATGTGATGAGCTCGTCTTTTGCTTTCGATTTTACCTTTTCATTGATTTTAATGTTTTGCATTCCGTTGCAAACAATCCTAAGGATTATTTTTAAGCAAATTGATAGATTCTGGTACAGGCATTGAGAAGAGACTTACAATTCCATTTACTGTTCTCTCACGAGTGAGAAATCTTTATCCCTCGAATTCATGAAGCCTCAGCTGAAATGACGGGCGAATCACACGGTAGTGCTGACTCAGGAGTGCCGTGACATAGTGGAATGGTTTAACCATTCCTCGTAAACACTGAAGCTGCCGCTTATATCCGCAATTTTTTATAATCCCATTTCAACTACACCGAATCTGGCCAATGAGACTGCGACACCCAGTCGTTTATACCCTAGTACAGAAGAGCCTTATTACTGTTCCATCAGATGGCACCTCGACAAACAGGTTGTTCTTTTCGGTCTCAGTAAGAATACAGTCAAAAGAATATACGATCGCTATTTTTGATCTATCTTGAGACCGCAGCTGACTGCCGTTCTTGTCTTCTGAGCCTGGCTCATCGATTTGGCCAATCTCAAATTCTGCTCCAAAGCTATCGCAGACTCGTGCTCGCGCCAAATGCGCCTCTGCTTCCTATCAAAGGTGGATTCATACCTCACCAAAAGAGAAGAGTATGGCACTCAAAGTTTACGAATATAGTCGTTCATAAATCATGGCTAAGACACGCCATCTTAGCATAAGATTGTATCTCAAAACAGTTAAGGACCAAACAATGTTTCACCTCGTCAAAGTTTCAAAATCTGACGGAAGAAGCAGAAGAACCTTTGACTGTCCTCGTCGCAAGATCACGGATATCGTATCTGTATTCAGCATCTTCAATGCCTCCAAGTACTTTCTACTGACTGCACGAGCCTCCTGTTTAAACCGAAAACAATGAATCTAACAGCCAATAACCCTGGGCTGTAAGCCTCTTCTCACTGAGAAAGCCGCTCCGTTCAGTAGTCCTTTTTGAGTATATATGTTATTTCTTCACGCAAGATTGACCATCGCATCTTTTGCTGGAAGCTTGAAATATAGGCTCTTGTATTGATAATGTCATTGTGGGAGACCGACCCACTTATCATTAATGGTCACCGTGACTATTTCAAATTGGTCGCAAATCGATAGAAAGGGCTAATATCTGTCAAAAAGAATAATACTAGGTACAGTATTTCTACAATTCTCCGTTAAAGTAACATGGCTTCCAGTGGGGGGTTGAGCAACGCGGACTTTGCGCGTATGTTCTGCGGCGAAGCGCAGCGGGAGATCGCAAGCCGTATACCGGATACAAGTGATGACATCACCGCGACTACGAATGTTGTTTATGAGCTAAAGCAGGGCGAAGAGGATCGACAACTTGAGGACGTTTCTGAGGCGTCACGAAAGTCTCATCTTGAGACTAATATTAGTTCTGGATCAAGCTTGGGCCCTAGTCGGAGCGTTGGGGTTGGTTTGGGCCTACAACTTGACTCTGGATCTGGATTGGGTTTCACAGAGAATAAGAAGAATATAAGAGTATCAAAACTTACTGAGACCAAGACGTATTCCTGGGAGAAACACACGACAGGATTTGGCACAAAAATGCTGGCTAAAATGGGTTTTAAAGGTCGCCTAGGAAAGATGGAGGATGGCGTGTCGGCCACTATTGAGGTGAAAAAGCGGCCGGCCCAGATGGGCATGGGCTACGGAGACTTTGTGGAAGCTAGCAATCTTAAGCAAAATAGGAAATTGCAAAAAGAACTCCAAGGTGAAAATGCTGGTGATGAGGAGACAAATTATGAGGCTCGATATGGTCTGGAGGACGACTCGTTGTGGAGAAAGAGGCTAATTGGGTCATGTCGCCAGAGACACAAGCGAGCAGCGGACTTGATGCAGGAAGTTCACGACATGAAAAAACACAGATCAAATGACATTGTACTAGATATGAGAGGTCCGTCCGTAAGGGTGCTCACCGATATGAAGGCTGCATATCATGTTGATCTGCAGCATATGACACCAAAGCTAGGCGACGAATTGGTTTACAATATATGTACGTTATTAAATCTGACAAAAGGAAAATTGTACGACCTGACGCAAAAAATCAGCGTAAACAAGGAAAGTCTTACCGGGATAAAGATGGAGACCAAAATGATGACGACACAGCTAGATGTGAATGATGTGCAACAGCAGCACATAGAAGGAATTATTAAGCAATTGAAAATACTGGATAGTCTTCGTGAGGATGCATTCGAAATGAAGTCGGTGGAGTCTCTTTTAACACATCTGCGCAGGATACGTCAGCATTTTCCGATCGAGTTTGATGCGCATAAGTTGCTGCAACTTGTGCCGTCTATCTGTATTCCTCCGCTTCGAGCCTTACTAACAGAATTAGATTTGCTCGATCCGATATCAAACGATCGTATCGTGCTTCAATTGCGATTAGTTCGGGCATTTTTAACAGAGTCACCCAGGGATACAGTCAAAAAGAATATTCCTCAAGTGGGCAGTGTGCTGCCTATTATCCGGGAAAAAACTATAGCCGAAGGCAGTGATCTATACAATTTCATACTGGAAGACACATTATGGCCTGCTTTAGCGCATTGTGTAAATGTGGATTGGCAAGCAAAGGCAAATCCACTTAGCTGTATTAATTTGTTTTTAAAGGTCAGATTGCACCTTTCGAGTGAATTGGAGAATGCTTTTATACATCGATTAGTGTTTGTTCGTCTGAAAAAAGAGTGCCAACATTGGGATCCTCAATCGGATACAATATCTATTCAGGAGTGGTTGCTACCTTGGCTGCCTTATGTCGGTGCTGCGATGGTGTACCTGTACCCTGACATTCGACTAGCGCTGGCAAGCGCCTTGAATCAGTGGCATCCATCAGACCTATCAATACTTTCTATTTTGTCTCCATGGCGAGAGCTTTGGGGTGAGCGCGAATATGGCAAATTTACCCATCGGCATATCATGCGAAAATTGATACGATGTTTGCATCGAGAGTTTGAAATCAATCCTGAGGAGCAGTCTCTCGAAGCTTTGACGTGGGTACTGGCGTGGAGAGATTGTCTCCCTGACCGCCAGCTCGTTGCTCTTTTGGAAGGCGAGTTCTTCCCAAAGTGGCTGAAGGCTTTACGCAAATGGGTTGACGGCTCTCCAAATTTGATCGAGCTTGAAAAATGGTATTGCGGTTGGAAACTGCTTTTTGAAAGAAATAAGCTAGCAACCAATGATAGATTGCTCATTCATTTCCATGGAGCCCTTGTGCTGCTACAGATTGCTACCGACTCGGTTTTCGGGAGCAGTCGGACAGTACCGGAGCTAAATGGATATGCTGCCACGAGTTATCAAGATGCACTAGTGTTAGCGCGGGACGCGAGTGGGCGAGACGAGCTGGTTCAAGACGAAAAAACCTTACCACGAAAAACAGTCGCCCACAGGGTCAGCTTGAAAGATGCCATTGAAAACATGGCAATAAATCACAACTTGACTTTCATGCCGAAAGGTTATCACGATGGACAACAGATATATATGTTTGGGGAGCGCAAAATAATCATAGAGCAGGGCGTAGTGTTTGCCGAAGATTTCAAAAATGTGTTTAAGCCTGTGGATCTTGAGCAACTTTTGATCGAGACCAGCGGAAAACACGCTTGTTGAAACACTAACCTAGAAAACTCAAATCTAGTTTGTACGATAAGTTACTGTCTGAAATCTCACGATATCGTTGATTGCAATCTCCAAACGAGAATTGTATGTGCTGCATTGTCGTCCGCTTAATTTGTTAATCTCAAATCCGGTTTTGAGGAAAATTTTTGCATATTCGCTTGCAATGTTTACGTTAGAATCTGTCAGTGAGCCAAACCTTCACCACAATACTGACATAAGCTCATAAGACTTTATGAGAGCAGCCGCAGACTTTGCCGATATGCCGACAATTTGACACGTTTCGCGTCATGATATTGTATCTGCTTATGCGCTTTGACAACATGATTCAACGGCGAAGTGTTCTTCTAGCAAGTAACATTGTGCGACATTATTACCGAGCACATTGCACAAAGAAAGCTTAAACTCGAAAGTTCGCCTACAGACATTGGGTTCGTACGCTCCACCAAGAAGCGAAATCTAGAGCCCCGAAAGTATCAAGAACTTGATTTGCACTCGCATATTTAAAATGAGATACATTTTTGAATTCTATTATGAACCATATTTGAATGCGTACTATTTTCAATACTTAAACGTTGCAGAAGGCAGTAGCGTAGCAGCCTGTGTGTTCCACGGACTTATCCTTCATAGAAGAGCATCATTTTCAATGAATACCACTGCTCGATAAAAACGAGTGGTAGAATGTTCACATGCTCATACTCAGTATCGTGGGTTAGCCAAAAATCGATTGAAGTATCCAGCGAAGAGGCTACCCACAAGCGCATATAAGGTACATAAAGGAATTCAGTAGAATATTTGGTAGATAGGCTTAGAGGTAGCACAGCGAGCTAAGGACCTTTAATATGGTTACTTTTCATTTTACCAACTAGTGCTCACTCCGACCTTTTCTTCAGATTATGAGCCCAAGACCAACTGACTCTGCTGCCCCAGCTACTGACTCATGGACACTATGACTGCCTGTATCAACAAGTTTGACGGTGCGAACTTTCACCTGTGGAAATTTAAGATGCAGATGGTGCTGGAAGAACGGGACTTATGGGATGTGGTGAGCGGGGAGGTGAAGCCGAGCACGTGATGAACCCGCTGGACCAATCGAGCTACGAGCAAAAGCCACGCAAGGCCATGGCGATTATCTGTCTTGCAATGGAGGATTCGCAACTGCCCCTAGTTCGGTCGGCAAAAGGCGCGTATGATGCATGGTCGCGTCTTGAAGAGCAATTCGAGAAGGCGAGCTTGGCGAATAAGCCTTTATTAAGGCGACTTTCTTCACGACGATGATGGACGAGGGTGATGACGTGCTGCAGCACATCAACAAGATCATGACGTTGGCAGAGCAACTTGACGCAGTGGGCGCTCCAGTTAGTGAAGTCGATCCAGTAATTACGCTTCTCACCAGCTTAAGCGAGCCGTACGCGTTCCTGATTCCGGCGTTGGAGACAAGATCTGACTCGTTGACGTGGGAGATCGTGACGTCTTGGCTAATGCATGAAGACAAGAAACGCAAGGAACAATGTGGCGGCGTCGATGGAGCCGCGCACATACAAGGGCAAGCGTTTATAACAACGGACAATGGACGGCGCAAGGGACGCCAAGCGACTGCTAAGGCTAGCAGTACGTGTCATTGTTGTGGGGAGCACGGGCATTGGATCGCCAAGTGCATCGTGAGAATCCGTGAGAACGGAGATCGGCAACGACCAGCACAGTGCACAAATATCACGCAGAGCAAAGACGACTCTGGTGATTTTCTCTGCTCGGTTGGTGAAAACGCAAGAGACGCCAAGTCGAGTCACGTATGGCTGGTTGACTCGGGTGCGACACAGCACATGACATTTTCAAAAGCGTTTATGAAGAATTACAAGGGTATTTCTCCAGTGGACGTTCATCTCGCAGACAAAGGTTTTGTTCAAGCAATCGGAACTAGAGACATTGCAGTGGCCCATGGAATCAAGAAGGGTATGCTTCGCGGAGCATGGTATATTCCACAGGTATTGCGCATTTTTTTCTCCGTTGGACGTTTTACGAAGGATGTTGGCCCAGTCACGTTCGAAAGCGATAGCTGTTTTGCCAATGTAAAAGAAATGTAGAGGAAGCTTGGAGGCCGCGAGGGCGAATGGCTGTTTAAGTTGTGTATGACACCGGTCAGCCAATGTGACAAGTTTGTTAAGATGCCATGGGGACACCGCTTCGTACCTCTGGCACCTTCGACTTGGGCACATTAGACATAGCGGTCTAAACACTATCGTCAAAAAGTATTACGGTATTGGCATTGGTCTTGCTTCGGTCAATCAGTGGGAGCTGTGCGATGGTTGTGCACTTGGTAAACAAACACGAGTGAGTTTTATGCCAAAGGCGCCTCATCACGCAAAGAAAATGCTAGAATTTACTCGCAGTGATATGTGTGTACTTATGTTGTCAACGACATTTAGGGGCAAGCGATATTTTGTCACATTCACGGACGAATGCTCGCACTTTACCACGATTTTCTTGCTGCGGAACAAGTCTGAAGTAGCCGACAAATCTGCCGAGTTTCTTGCTTTTGCTGAAGCTCAGACAAGCAAAGTTGTCAAAGCGTTTTGTTGCGACAATGGCGGCGAGTACATCTTAGGTGACATGACCAAGTTCTGCAAACGACGTGGTATCGAGCATAAGTTCACGCCACCTTATACTCCGCAGCTTAACGGAGTGGCTGAACGCATGAACCGAACTCTGGTGGAATGTGCAAGATGTATGATTGAGTACGCTGGACTGGCAATGCCGTATTGGGTTGAAGCAGTTATGCCGGCTGCTTCTCTCCGCAACCGTTGCCCAACGCGAGCATTGTCATGGATAAATCACCATACCTTGTTTGGACTGAACGAAAACCTGCGCTAACAAATTTAAAGGTTTTTGGAAGCCATTTATTTGTTACGATGCCCAAGGAAAAGTGCAGCAAGATTGATGCTCGGTCGGTACGCTGTCGAATTTTGACTACTCGGAGCATGAGAAAGTGAATCGATTGGAAGAAATCGAAAATTATAGTGTGCTTGTTAGCCGCGACGCAAAGTTTATGGAAGATTGGGAGGCGCGACCGTTGCTACAATGGAGTCGTTTTCAGAGTGATAATGGTGAGACTGATGAGGACCCCCACAACATGACCAAACAGACCATTCAACAGAAGAATTTGAGCCTGGCAGGAAACGACACCAACGGACCCAATCGCTTGAAAAAGCTATTGAAGCAACAAGGTCCAAACGACAGAGTTGACATTGATCACTTGAAGAAATGGCAGCCACAGCTCAAACTTTGAGGCTGTGTACGTCGTGTATTCAGTGGGAGGAATGCAAACTACTTTCAAGCCAGCGAGGGAATTCAACGACGCTAAATGAAAGGAAGCATGCGATTCGGAAATGGAGTCACTTTAAAAGAACAAAACCCGGACGCTCGGAAACCTTCCGAAAGGAGGCAGGGTAATCGGCAATCGATGGATGTTTCGCGTCAAGGAGAATCAAGCTGGTGAAGTCGAGTGATACAAACGCATCTAGTGGCCAAAGGCTTTGCACAGAAGTTTGTCATTGACTATCACGAAATGTTTGCGTCCGTGGCCGTGTTTACGTCGATCCGACTTTTGCTCAGTCTGGCTGCCAAGTGCGGACTATTGGTCCATCAGATGGATGTGAGGACAGCGTTTCCAAACGACCACCCTGATGAAGATATCTACATGGCACAGCCTGATGGCTTTGCAGACATGGTCAATACCGAATATGTATGCAACTTACAGCGGTTACCGTACGGGCTAAAGCAATCCCCTCGCATGTGGAACTGGGCCATTGATGACTTCGCGTTGGGAATAAGATTTTAAAATGTGAGTCTGATCACTGTGTGTACATGAAGCGGGATGGCCAAGACATGATATTCGTCGCGCTTTGTGTTGATGATCTAATTTTGGATAGCAGCACCAGCAAGATGCTTCGAGAAACCAAGCAAGCACTCAGCAAACGATTTGAAAGGGCGGATTTGGGTCAGCTAAAGTTCTTTCTTGGGTTTGAAATCGATCAAGACTTCACGATCGGGACCGGGACCCTGACGATGCGGCAATCCAAATTTGCGTGCGAGACTTTGACCAAGTTTAATATGAAAAACAGCAAGCCCATCAGAACGCCTCAATCTTGAGGTCTCAGGCTCACCAAGTCTTTGTGCGAAGCAGGATGCAAGCACAACGAGACTATGAGCGATTTGCCATATCGAAAAGCTGTTGGTTGCGCTATGTACCTCATAATGGCACGCATTCAGACCTTGCTGCGGCAGTATGAGCACTCAGCCAACTTGCAGCAGATCAGTGTCCAACACACTGGCAAGCATCAAAGAGAGTCTTCAGATACATCCAAAACACAAGGACGCACGGCGTTACGTTTCGAGCAGAAAATCATGATGGATTGCAAGGATTTCCAGATGCGGATTGGACGGGAGACACAATGTTGCGACGAAGTACAAATGGCTACGCCTTTATGATGAGTGGTGGATGTGTCGGCTGGAGAGCAAGAAACAGCGTACTGTGGCACTATCGTCTACGGAGGCTTTATACATGGCATTGTCAGAGGCTGCGCCAGAAGCAATTTGGCTTAAGACGTTTCAGTGGAAATTGGGCGAGACGTCCTCGGATACAGCGGTCAAGACTTTTGAAGATAAACAAGGCTCGATCTCACAAGCAAACCAATCACATCGATATTTGACACTACTTCGTTCGCGAAAAGGTACAAGATGATCAGGTGATATTTCCTCTCAGGACATGCTATTCGACATAATGACCAAGCCGACCTTTGCAACGCAGTTCTGTATACATCAAAGCAAGCTGGGTATACGAGAGTAGACGGCTGCCGAGTCGAGTGGGAGAGTTGTTAAAGATGCGCCTCGCCATGCAGACTAGTGGTACCAAGGAGGTATTTCGACGAGCAGCCACCAACTGGTAGATATCGATATTACCGGTGTGGGCAGGCTGTTTGTGCAAGTTGCTGTTTCGTGGGTTAGCCAAGCATGAAGTATCCAGCAAAGAGGCTACCACAAGAGCATATAAGGAACATATCCAGTAAAGAATCCGGTAGATTTTTTGGTAGATATTCTAGATAGGCTTAGAGGTAGCACAGCGAAATAAGGACCTTTATTATGTTTTCTTTGCATTTTGCCAACTAGTGCTCACTTCGACCTTTACTTCAAGCGCCACCTTACCAGGTATACCTTACGCCATAAAAATTCTCGCCCACCCGTCATTGAAGCGGTAACAAGTAGCTTTGTCCAAGCGTTAGAAATTCTCATCTTCGCGGCAGCAGCAAGCCCTCATCCAAAATTGACAATGATTGTAAGCGTCGTTGTGGGTTACAAGAATCGTGCATAACGATTCGAGATCTATCACCTATCAACCATTTTCGAAGATGTGTGATTGTAGCACAGAATGCAATGATTAAGTTCCGTGCCGCAAGGGCGAATGGAGTTCGAAATGTGATGGCTCTAAGAGTGCGGCAGAGACAAACGACCTCAGTCAAGAAAGGGAGGCCATTGTTGCCAGGCAAAATTTTGATACTGACCGATAAACACCGTAGAACCGAATATCTGCGTATCGCGCGCCTTCTTCCTTCATGGTTGAGAGGCATGCAGGATAGTTCTCCACGTAAGGTTATACGACGAGCCCCTCGCGGGTGAAACATCCACTCTTTGCACACCACATTCTATATGCCGCAAATGAACTGGGTTGTGTGGTAACGGAGTTAAATATGCCCAGCATATTTTTTTGTGAATCTCATGCAGATGAAGAGCTTGTAGCACTTTGCTCAACATCGCGGTTTCTTCGCGCAAATCATTATGAGTATACCCCCACCACGCCATTAGCGAGTTTTCTGCTGACGGATGATGAGCGGTGGGCATGTCCATTTTGCTGCCAACACCTTCGATGTTTTTCCCAAATTTCGCTATATTGGTCCGAATCCATAGCGACTGGCAAGCTATATTGACAAAACTCTGGTGCATCTTCTGACATTACTGAAAGCAAAGCTCGGTTTGATAAAAAGTGCAGCGGGCTTGCTATGAGGAAGCTAAGCTAAGGTCTCTAAGCTTACGTTCTTTCTAAGTTCCAGTACGAGTGTAGCGTATCGCAATCCGCTACATCCAAGTATCAAAACCTTAACCAAGGCAAACGAACACTCTGTTCAAAATTTGCGCCAGAGCCGCCAATCTAGGTTTTCCTTATCACTATAGTGATACCTAATTTAAACCACAAAGTTTTATTTAGTAATATGCATTACTACTGGCTATCCTGCCACATAGTGGCTTCTTGTTACGGTATAGCCACACCCTGTGTGATAACACAAGCTTGTGTGATACACATAGGTGTGTATCACACGGTCGAACAATGTGTGACCCCGTACGAAAAGCCAAGCCTCTGCAGAACCAGCAGACTGGTCATAATCACCGACACATCCGGCGAGGGCTTAGACCATCGACACGTTTTAAACGTTCGCACGAATTGTTCTATCCGATTAAATAGTTGGGCTGCCCTTAAGGAGTCATATTTTATTTCTTTTCGAGGTGGTTTCCCAAAGAGCATCGTGCGCCTCTTTAATATTTTGTACTTGATTACCTCACTTTGAGGTACCACCACACGTAAAGTTTCAAGTGGGTCAGTGCTGTGGTACGGCTTGCCTTGGAGTAAGAAATAACGATGCGAATGTACAATCAAGCTGCAATACATTTCAACAGAAGTTGAGGGAAGGGTCTCTGATATGACCGCTTCATCAGAATAACAGAGATGTCATTTTTGGTTTTCGCTTAGCTGCGTGTTAACCAAGTGAGAGAAGACCGCGATCTCTCTTGGAAGCTTCTTACAAATCCAAATCGACATTGTATCCCTGGAGCTTTACATTGACCACATGTGTCGGTGTCGCACATAACATCACGTGATTATCACCTCAGCACGATTTAAGGATAGCTTTTAGACTCATTATGTTGTGTTTCTGCCAAATTTGGTTTTTGCGTATCAAATTCTTTCCCAGAAAATCGAGACATCCTTTTTAAATTCATGGTCAACTGCTAGTTGAGACGCTAATTCGATTCTAGCAATTCTTCTGGTCTGCGTTGTTTTACCGCTACCCGCACCACAGCAAGACTATTTGTTGTATCCAAATCTGAAGGACCGCCCAATGCTCTCCCAATCATGCTTACCACACCGACAATAGAACGCTCATCGCAATGCGTCACGAAGTTTCCATTGATATTCCCTATCGTCAATAAGTCATCCCGTGGAATGGTAAGCCAATTTAGTCGATGAAGTACAATAGCTTGATTATTATTTTTCTCTAGGATTTTCATAATACCAAAAGACTTAAGGGTTTTAGCCTTGTAGCAAAGCATGCCATTTTCCCAAACATAACCACTTAACAAGATCATCTTACACCGTGGTCCAATAGCCGTATCGACGCAGCATGATGTCCACAATAAGTTAAATGAGCCAAAAAGCCACCGCACACTAATAATTGCTCCTACTGAACGGATTGATGCAATCACGAACACGACTCCAAGCACGATAATGCCGTGTCCGACGAGACTCCATACGTAATATGATACGTCCTCGGCGATAGGTCTTGTTCTCTGAAGACTAGACTTATTCAGCCCAGTGAGAAAATGTTGCATTGCGGCTGAGCAAGCAAATTCGCCCAGCAGCGCTGTTTCGTAATTAAAGAGCAAACGTTTGATCAGAACGCGCGGAGTCTCTCGAATCCAACCCATGGTCTCAACCATTTCAAACAAGATCGACAAAACCCCTGATAAATTGTATCCGAGAGAGATGTACTGCACCTTTGCGAGAAGTCCGTCTTGCGCAATGAGCATGAACAAATCACTCATCAATCCTTCAATTAAAAAATAAATTAGTACAATACGATGGTAATTCCTTGCCCCGTGGGCTGAAAGGCGCATGCTTTCTTGGACAAACACGACACAATTCTGAAATTGCATCGGTTCTTGCAGTAGATCACACCGTCGTCCGAAGCGCTTGCACGAAATGTAGCTTCTTCGCAGCATAAATGTACGATAGGTGATCCAGAAAAACCCGAACAGCCCATACCAATATGATAATCGATAAGTCGAATCGCCCACGTCATTGGCCAACTTTGCACCATTTCCATCGTAGGTTCCAAGACCGCGGACAATCACATAACCAACATTATCGTTGGCACAAAACGTGCCTGTGGCTTCTTCATAGAAGGCATAATAGCTAATACTTCCATGATAGAAGAAGTACTCGAAATAATAGCTATTATCCTTGCAGCTGGATATATCTATATCTGTCGGTGTTTGTTTGGCTCCTAGGACGTAGTTGCCGTGAATATTGTACTGAGGCACAACAAAATGGCATATTCTGCCCTTTTCCAGCTCGTAGTAATGTGTGACCGCAACATTCCACCAAGTGCCAGCAATCGTTAGTCCTACCAATGGGCAAAGCGTCTCCACGTCGGACGTGAGCTTTGCTGCGGACATCGGTGCGACCAAAGTCCGCGAGATCTTGTGCGGCGTCACAAGTCGGAAAAAACTTCTTGTTTGCAAAAGGAGAGGCACGAATCCAACGAACATCCAAACTGCAGTGAGCGTCTTTTTGGCAGCAGAATGGCCAGGTTGACTTTGGTCAAAAGTTGATTGAGTGGTGCACCTCGTCGTAATGACTTCATCGTCGACACAGTCGATAAGTGAAGTAGACCGAAGAGCTGATACCTTGACCTGACTGACAGAGCCGATAGACTTGCTAAACTCCATTTTGTGAATAGGCGCCGTGAGAGTTGCACTAAAATTTGGTGACGTACCGTAGTTAACAGAAAAATTGCTTCTCAAAAAGATCACAATTTGGATAAATCCCATCACTTTTTAATGTTATTGTGATTTTTCGTTAACAAAAAGATTACAACAGCTGGAGTCACTTCAGTCTTCGGTGTCCGTCTCGGACTCCTAAGACGAAAGACTGGAAAGGACTTTTAATAAAAGACAGAGTTTTATTGAACAATTTCGTGTGAAAATTTATTGTCTTCATTTCGAATTACCGTACCATTGTTGCTACCTATCATCACCTGAGATGAAGCGGTT